TTTCCAAATTTTATCATAGGTGGAATTTGAACCTTAGACCTGCCACTTGGAGGATGACAACCCAACCACTACACTAGGATCGCCATCCTGTAGTTATATATTGTATATAGTAACATTATGTTATGTATATAATATTCTAAAGTAGGAATAATTACAGTATTTATGATATATGCAGCTTGTTTATCTGTAATATTTTTGGTTTTTAATATGTTGTTAAGTCTGAGTGCTTCTTGTTGTATTAATTTTGTTTAAGTTATATATTGTAAAGCAGCTGTAAACCAGCATCCTAAAAATTTAAAAAGAGTATTTTGTAGTTATGCTTGAATAGTTTGATTTATGAAGTTAATATAAGTAGTAGATTTAGTATTTGAAGTTAAGAAGGATTTGTGTGGATAAACTTTTATATAGACTATTGTGCAAAAGGATGCTGCTACTTGAGTTATTGCTTGAAGCTCTTCTACTAAGTTTGTAAGCCATAGTATATCATCTATATATGCCAGTACTAATATAAAGATGATAGTAGATTGGTATCTACTAGGGTTAATCTAAGTAAGCCATTTAGTTGTTGTAGTATAGCCAGTATATTTTTTGTATATGTAACTTATTAAAGGATTATAGTAGATTCACTAAAAAAAAGAAATTATGTTTTTATCTTGGTCTATACCATCTTGTACCTCATATGAGAGTGTGAGTTCAAGATTAGTAATAATTTGATTAGATCAGTTATGTAAAAGATTGGTTATTATATTAACTAATATGTCAGGTATATTGAAACATTGTAAAGTTTTGGTTAGAAGATGTATATTTACAGAGTCATATGCTTTGCTCATGTCTTGAGACAAAATCCAGATGTGTTTTTTGGTGCATTTGGCATCTTCAAGAAAGTTATTAAGTATATGAATTGGGTTGTTAGTTGAATTGCCAAAAAGTGCAACATAATTATATAGATTGAGAATTTGGTATTGAGTTAAGACTTGTGATAAATAGTTAGTAAGGATTTTTGTATATAGTTTCTTTGCATGTTCAATTAGGCTAATAGATTGAGTATTGTTAAGATTTCTATCAAATTTTGGTTTTTTGGAGATGGTGTATATTCTACTAGATTTTTATTGTTTTGGAATATTTTGTGTAGTTAAACATTTGTTAAAGAATGCTGTAAGTGCAGATTGTATATTAGGACTAAGATGTTTGATTATTCATAACTAATTTCAGTAGGCTTACAGGCTTTGTTATTAGGTAATTGTTGTATAGTGTTTATAATTTCTTCTGTAGTGATTTCTTAAAGTATAGAAGTGTATTATTCAGTATTAATATTAGTATTAGGTTGATATACAGTCTTCCAGTTATGATTGAAAATATTTTCATCAAATGGATGATGAATTGTTTATGTTTTAAAATATTTACTAACATGTTGTTTAATCACTGTAGAGTCAGTAATTATACTATTAGTAGATTTGATATTTTGAAGATGTACCACATCTGTATGTCAGTTTAATATACTGTTGATTATTTTGGTTAGTTGAATAAATAATTGTTCACATTGTTTATTTGTAGCTGTATTGATATGATTATGAAGATGCTTGGAATTTTTAATGTTTTTGGCATTGTAAAGTGTTTTTCAGAAAGTTTTTGTATGCTGTATCTAAGTAACTAGACTGAATTGATAGTTGGGTAGTGATTCAATAATAAAGTTATAAATACAGTTAATGTGATTGATAAGGTTTTGAATATTAGTAGGTAATAGTATTTGGTATGAAAAAAGTTTTTTAATATAGTGTATAATATGTTCAATAGTTTTAAGATCATGATATAATTAGGTTGCTTTTGGTGTAAATGTGTAATGTAAGTTTTTAATAGTATATTTTTTGTTTGAAATATGTTGGAATGCAGCATTAATGATACTGGTATGTATTTTATACCAGGTTTTTTTGAGGCTTTCTGTTGTGTTTATTGTGATTAGAATCTGATGTTGTATTATATTCAAGTTTATTTGATTTATAAAATCATTTTAGTTTTTTTTGAACATAGCTTTGTAATTAAATATTTATTATTTACTTTTGCTTTTGTGTCTGGCTTTGGTTGCTACAAATGGAAATGTCTATATAGAGATTAGGATATAGTGATCACTATTAGTTGAGATGATGAATTGTCAAGTTTAAATTTATTTAAATATAGTATAATAGCATTATGAGCCAATATATAGTTTATTCTGATTTGATATTAGGTACTATACTAAGTGTTTTGTAGATTGCTGATATAGTCTGCTAAGTCATATATGTTTATACTGTGCAAGTAATTGAGTAGTTGAAATTTAGTTTCTGAAAATGTAATAGTATTGTTGTTTGCATTAAAGTCTTTGAGTATAATAGAATATAGGTTGGATGATATTGCTTGTTGTGTTTATATAATAATAATGTCTTGTATAAGTTTGTGGTTAGCAGTATTAGTGAATAAGAGGTATACTAAAATAATTCTGAATTTATAATCATGTTTAAAAAATAAGTCTATAGTAATAGTACCATCAGGTTGTATAATTATATTGTGTATATGAGACTGAATATTATTTTTAATTATTATATATGTTTCTTCTTTAGATTCTGTGAAGTTGGACCAAAAGTATGAATAATGAGATGTGTTTCAAAACTAGTTTTTTGTGTTTTTAGAAATTTTTGTTTTGGTAAGACTAATTATATGTAAATTATGAGTTAAACAGTAAATTTTCTATAGTAATCTTTTTTCTTGTGTATTGTATTCTTGAACATTATGTATTGCAATATTGAGTTTAAGCAAAATATCATTGTTAAGAAGGTTGGAAAAAGATTTTAGGAGTAGTTAATAATATTTATGATATTGATAATATTAGAGTATAATATAATTAGAAAGTAGATTGTCATCATAGTTAGTATAAATATAAGTTTCTGTATGAGATAAATTAATAGATATTTTAAATAGCTTGGTGAAGTTGTAATGTTATAAATATTGAATAAAGAAGTGTAATGTTTGTGGGTGATAAATGAGTGATATATTGTTATTATATAAGAATAGATTATAACATGCATTAGGATTAAAGGATTTTGAAGATGTTGTGATTAATTCTGATTTATTGTCTTTTACAAGGGCTCTTACTGTTTAAAGCTTGGCTTTCACAGCTGCAAAAAGTTCTATAATTTGCTCTGTATGTTGAGTCTAACTGTTATTTTCTTAGTTCTCTGTGTAAATAGGCTTTTTTACCTGCCCACTTACATTATCTTCTTTATCAACTACTACAGTTGTTTCTTTTAATAAGGTGCTGGCTACATTTATAGGATTTGTAGAAGACAGGTTTAGTAAAAAGGAGTTTCTTCCTCTGTTTTAAGAAAGAGTGACTTTTTTATAAAAATAGAAATTTCAAATTTGATGTTAAATTTGTTGCAAAGGATTGTTTCTGCTTTAGAAAGAGCCTTTTATTTATAGAACTTAACAATTTTAGAGTAGATAGGAGAGTTGCCACATATACAGTCAAAGTATATAATTACCTGTGCAAGAAAGTTTGTAAAAGCCATGTTATTTGGAGTTGGTTTTAACAGCATTAGCAGAACAAGTATAGTCTTCTGCTTTTGTTGCTAGTTCATCAAGAATAGTAGTAGATATTTGTTTTTGAAATGTTGCTTCATATTTGCCTTTAATATAAAAGACAGATGGATCAAGATAGGCTTCATTCTATGATTCATTATCTTTTTTAGGATAATTTTAATATGATTCATTAAAGATATGTTTTGTAAGTGCAGATGTGTTGTATTGTAATTAAGTTTCAGTATTAATTTTTGAATTTGTATCTTTTTTTTTTCTTTTGGTGTTTCAGTAAATTGAAGATAAGAGCATTTGGAATCTGTACAAGTAAGTATATAGTAATTAACTTGTTTAAATGTTTCATAATATTGTTCTTATAGGTTGTTAGGTTCTGTGAATTCATAAGTAGTAGGTAGAAGTTCTTTAAAATGTGTAATAAAGTGTTGTCTAAATTGATATTTTAGGTAATTTGATACTTTGGTTTTATTGATAGTAGTAGTAAATTGTTAACTATATAGAGGAAAAACTTTTTCAAATCATTTATTAAAGTGAAAAAGTAAATTTTTTAATAAGGAAATATTGTATTTATTTATGAAAAGGGTTTTAGGAATATTGAATTATAGTTGGATATTAAAACAGTTATCCATTTTAATAGAGAGATATTGTTGGTTTTTGTTATAACTAGTAACTTTTGATAATATTTTAAACCTTTTTGGTCTAAGTTTAATATTTTCTGCAAATTTTGTATAGTTAATAGGCTGGTAATTGTCTGATAAGTATAAGTAAAGTTATGCTAATTGATACAAAATTGTAAATGATTTTGGATTTTATAAGATAAAATAGTGACAGGTGAAGCAAAAATTTTTAGATAGTTAAGCTTGATAAAAAGTACAGTAGTAAATATATGAATAAGCTTTTTGAGAGTTTTTTTAAAGATATTAAATAGAATTGTAGTGGCTTAATCAGTTTTAAAATTATATTGTTAGATTAGATTAGTTAAGAATTTAAGTTTAGTACTATTTTTTAGAATTTATAAAAACAATTAAAATGAAATAGTTTATTATTTTTATTTTTAATTATTATTTATTTTTTTATTTTTTGCTTTTACTAAGGGCATTAGTTATCAACAACTATTGTCTTTATTGTAAATTCAATTATGATTACATAACTTGTACAAGATGACTCTATACTATACTAGCAGATAGTACACAAGTTCTTATATATCAAAGTGCTGTCTAACCTAATTCTAACCTTTCTATATGTATGTTTATTAAGCTATTATATATTTCAGAATATATTAGCTAACTGTAGAGCTCCAGAAGACCCTTTTGCTAACTAACTATTTATATTTAATCTTTATTAACAGAGCTTGCCTATATAAAGTTTACTCAGACTGCAGTACTAACTTCATAGCATATTTCTAGTATTTAGCTATACTTTGCTTTAGTTCTTAGACTTCTAATTCAGATAATTCAAAAGAACTATGACCTGTCTTTAGTATTTCAAAGGTCTGTCTTTCAAGTTTCTTTTTCTTCAGTTTAAGACTTCTAGTAGCCTGGTTGGTAGTACCTCTTATTAAAATTCTTGCCTATCTAATTTCTTTCACATTAATATTCATTTCTTAGATTTAGTCTTTACAGTAGTACTGTCAAAAATCTGTGTTATCTCTCTACTTAGGTCTTTTCAAGTGGGCTTTAGTTTTCTAGTTTTACAGATTTACATAGTTACAAAAACTTATTCTGGATTTGCACTACCTAATACAGTTTGCATTTTTTTGTATAACTCCAACATTGTCAGATGCCTCATAACCTGCCAGTTATGCTGATATGATCATAGTTACAGTTATCTTATTCCAACTGATTGATAGATTGCTATTGCTATAATACTGCTTATCTTCTGTAATATTGATATTACATAAGTAATTTTCAAATTTATACTGTTAGTAGGTTTTGAACTTCCAACTTATTACTTGAAGATTGACAACTTATCCACTTCACTAAGTTATCACATTCTATTTTTAATTATTAATACTATAGCTAAAAGTATGTTTTAGTATTGTTCTTCTTTATTTAAGTTTAATATTTTGTTTATATATTAAATTTAAATAAAGTAAAACAATTATTTATTTAATAAATTATTTAAATATTTATTATCAAAATATGTTTATAAAGTAATATTATAAAGTACATATTTATAAAAAATTCATATCATATAAAATGTTTGATTAATATATTACAGAATAACTATTATTAGTTTTTTTATTATATTTTAGTTTAAATACTATAGCTATTTGCATTATTTGTTCATTGTTCTATTTTTTGTAATTGCAAACTTTTTAGTTTTATATTTTAAATTTTCTTTATATATAAATATTTAATTATTTTTTGCTTTGCCAAAATAAACACCATTATATCTAATAGTACTTGAATTTTGTAATTTTATATTTAATACATTTTTACATTTAGTTGTTTTTTGTAAATTGTATTAATAATTATTATATTCATTATAATTAATGTAGTTTATTATCTTCTATTAAAAGTAAATTAATCAATGAAGTAATAAAGTTTTTTTTCTGTTTTCTTTATTATTATATATTTAAAAATAATATATTGTTATAGAACGATTTATTATTATTTTATTATTAGTTATTATTATTATTATTATATTATTATTATTTAGTA